AGTACCCAAGGATTTTGATCCTCAAAACTCATAGATTATGATATTGAAGTATGGACAAGGAGGAGTCCTATACACTCATAGGCATATGGGTGGGCTGAGGTTTTTAGTCAAGGATATTGACTATTAATATTTTCCCAAATAAAATGGTGATCTACGGATCGGGTATTTTCCAAGTGTATATGTACTACTAAGTATTTCTTAACTTGGGGGAAAAGACTATTTACATAAGTATCACCCTATTTTTGGGTCTTATACTTGAAACGTTAGTTATTCTATATTCAGCCTGCTACTCACTCGGTACTTGTACAGACCCCTTCGGGGGGCCTCACCATTTCAGGTTGAAGTTAAGGCTTGTCATCTACACCTTTGCACGGGTGAAGAGAATCTAGAGGAAGACGTGGTTCGTGCTCCCTCTACTATATCAAAAGATAATCTATGCTCATGGATACTTTTGTATTAATACATTGTTTTGGCCTGCGAGCCTACGTTTTGGCCATGTGTGGCCCACGAGTGATTATTGAATATTTCCGCTATTCAACTAATCTAAACTGTGATGTTGTTGTGTATGTTTACTACTGAGTATGGATATATATTATGTTCATGGACGCCTTGTATGGTTAAGACACGTTGACTTGCGAGTGGCGTTACTTGGTCATACGGCGGTTGTACACGCGCCTAGATGCGGTCTGGGGCGTGACATTCTGTTAAATGAGCATTAATGATTTTTTTAATGAGCATCAAACCCGTTGGATTTATGGCCCAACAAGGCTCGACCCACCAACCCATTAAGGTCCACCGGACGATCGTCCCATAAGCCCAAGCCTTCTGGTGAAACCCTTGGAAGTAGACCAAGGAAGATAAGAAGTTGGCCCCCATAGGGGACGTCCGTCCTCATGATACCGGACCAGGGGGTAGATAACTACATTTCATGGACAGTGGTCATGGAGACGCACGTCAGGAGACACAGAGTGGCTCAGCAATTTGGAAGGCGCCACGAGACACCAGACAACCAATGCCTGGGAACCCAAGTTTCTTGCGGCGGGGGTATTAGCTGGCGACGTACGTCGGATTCAATTCTACTTCCTTATGTCCCGCACATGCTCGGAACATCAGAAGTGGGGACTTGTGTTGGGTTAATGGCCCAACAGGGATTGACCCATAAACCCATAAGGTCCACCCTACGAACGTCTTGAGATACATAAGAACAACAGGGAGTGCATCCTCCCAGAACAAGCGACGTACGCCCCCTATGGGCCACCACGGCCCAATCCTAGAACTTAGGGGGGGATGCTCGTCTCCACTCATTGCCCGAAACCCAAGATTCGGGTACGAAGGTGCAGGGGGTTGCACGACGTTCGGTGTCTGGGACTTGAGGCCAGACGGAACGCAGAATGCAAGCTCAGGGGGACACTCATCTCCACCCTTTGGTGGGAAGCCAAGATTCTAGCATAGGCGGGTGCTTTGACCCAGGGGCAGCGCCTGGCGTACGTCTCGCGGGACTTTGGACCCAACAGGAAATAGGAGGCAAGCTCATGGGGACGCTCGTCTCCACCCTTTGGCGGGAAGCCAAGATTATGTCGGGAAGTGCATTTAATATAGAGATTTGGTGGTTGAGACCCCAGCCATCCACAGCTTGCCACGTCAGTTTATCCAACTACCCATTGGCAGTATAAATAGAAGCATTTATTTCATTGTAAGGGGGGTCTCTTCTTCCCCATTTTCCTCCTCCTTCTCTCTAGACTAGCTAAAAGACCCCATTAATGGGAGCTCAAGTGTACAATGTAATGGTGAGGAGAGCCTAATAAAATGAGAGGGCTTGGTCATTAGTCAAAACAGTCCCGTAGTTTTCTGCCTTTCCGGGTTTTCACGTAAAAATAGCTTGTTCATACATGTTTATTTCTATATTTATTATATAGGGGGTGAGCAACTTAGCACTCTAGCATTCTAGCAATGATATCAGCTCATAGCATAGCTCTGTACGAACGGCCTCTCAGCTTCGTAACCCTTTCAGTGTATTAAGACTTCTTCTTTTTTGGAAAGGAAGTGTATTAAGACTTCTTATTGGGCCCTTCTTGCTTGTTTCTACATCCACTTCGATACTTCTTCCATTCGAAACCCTTGGGTCATGTGTTGGGCCTACGGGTTGAAGGAATAAAGCTCAACAAAACCTATACAAATGAGCATATGTAACTTACAAGATGAGCATTGATATGAAAACTGTAAGTTTTGTTCGTTGAGCATCAAGACATTTTCAGTGAGCATCAAACATCTATTATTGAGTATTAGAATCGTGCGATTGAGTATCATTTTTTTTGGATGAATGCGATTGAGTATCATGATTTGTGGTCTTGTATCTATAATCAAATTCTATGTGAATCTAATGTAATATGAGACTTTTGAAATATGCATTGATATAACATTTTAAAATGAGCATAACAAAGGTACTAAATGGGCATACATAACTTACAAAATGAGTTTTCAAAAATTCAAAAGCTCATTTCTAATGTGCTTTGTATTACTATATAAAGAAAAAGAAAGAAGGAAACAATAAATAAAAGAAACGAAAAGAAGAAAAGAAAAAAGACAAAAGAAAAGAAAGTAAACAAACTAACAGTAAAAGTATCGAAACAAAATAAAATCAAAAACACAAAACACAAAATGTAAAACGAATTAGCAGGAAAGACCAAAGAGGATGGTGAGGATGTTTGCTGAAGAAGAAAGAAAAGCAATGGGCATAGAGCGAGATGAGAGAATCAAAGGCTCAAAGTTGATATATATTACAAAAATACCGGCTGTACTTGTACACCCGGGTGTTCATTATAATTTGTGTTACTTTTATGACTGAATTCGCTGGAATTACTATAAAGAAGCAATTTAGCTATTTTAATGTATAATTATTCCTTTATTTTATTAATAAAATATATTTTTAAATATTATTTCATGATTCAACAGATACAGCCAATTCTGTCGCTTCAGCCATACCTTCATCAATTTCAGTAGAATCAACCGATTCACCCAATTTTAGAGCCCGTTTGGTGACCCTGTTTTCGGCTTATCTGTCAACTTTTTCACCAAACACGTAAGTTTTGATTTCGCGAGTTGAATTGTGTAATAATAAGAAAAATGTAAGGTTGGAGTTACTTTCGTGACTATATAGACTAAAGTCACTATAGAGAATCATTTTAGCTGTTATAAATATAATTTTTTTCATAAATCAGCAAAATCAGCCAATCTGGTCACTTTAGTCAGAAAAACTTCCTAAATTTTAACAGAATAAGCCAATACAGCCGATTTCTGTATTATCAAATAGACTCTCAATGTTACTAAATAGACTCTAAACAATGTTTGCTTAGGGTCAGATAGAGCCTCGAACTTACAAAAAAATGTCAAATAAGACCTTATATAGGAGGTTCTGTCCGGCCAACGCCATTTGGGGTGGTTCACGGTTGAATTTTTTGATGAAATTTTGTGATAATCTTATTCATTAAGTCTAGTTTACTCATACCAAGTTTCAGCTAAAACTTCAATAGGGAAGCCATTCAAATAAATTCTTGAAGATAAGTGCGCAGTTATCTTCAAGAATTTATTTGAATGGCTTCCCGATTGAAGTTTTAGCTCAAAATTGGTATGAGTCAACTAGACTTAATGAATAAGATGCTTAAAAAGTTTCATTGAAAAATTCCACCGGAAACCACCCCCAATGGCGTCGGTAGGACAGAACCTCCTATATAAGACCTTATTTGAGATTTTTTTGTAAGTTCGAGGCCTTATCTGACCCTTTTCCCTTTTTCATAAAATGATGTAAAAATCCTTCATAACCACCGAAGGTTGATAATCCTTCGATTGTAGAATGATGTTCTCATTTTCAAAGCCACCACATTATGGACAATCCTTCATGTCCCAATACTTTTATATTGATAGATGAGTCTACATATTTACTAAGTGGTAATTGTAGCTTTAGACTATCCATTTTATCTTTAATAATGAAGTGTTTTCATTTAAAAAACAAGAAATAAAAAATTACGGAGTACATGCTTAGAATCTAATGTAAATATCATTTAAATTCAATGCTGAACACATTTTTTACTTCAAGCTGCGCTCCTTTTCTTTTAGGCACACCTAGTTGTAAAAAAATAACAAAGCTTGTTTATTACTTCATACTAAACAAATATATTCTTGGCTAAAGGGTCAAATAGGTCCTCGAACTAACTTAAAAAGTGCAAATCCCTCTTTATAATGCAGGCTCTGTCCATACCAAATTTCAGATAAAATTTCAGCCGAGAAGACAGTCAAATGATTTTCCGAAATGTACTGCGCTGTTTAACTGCGCAGTTATCATCAAAAATTCATTTGATTGCCTTCCCGATTGAATTTTTACCTGAAATTTGGTGAGGTGAACTAGACTTAATGAAGAAGATGCTCAAAAACATTCATCAAAAAATTCCACCGGGAACCGCCTCAAATGAGGACGGCCGGACAAAGCCTCCTATATAAGGGGTAATTTGCACTTTTTAATTTAATTCGAGAGCCTATTTGACCCTCTAGCCTATTTTCTTTTATTATTGTTTGAGCAAAAAGTGATGACAAGGAATACGTTAACTCACTCAGGAAGCAAAACTAAATTAATAGAATTAATCTATTTTCTCGCATATGGACGAAGACTATTAAATTTGGTTCATGCTTCTGGAATGGTGATAATCTTAGCACCGAAAACAGACAACTGATAAAGCTTACACACTACATACCCTACTTAGGAATATGAGGCATTGAGCGTTTTTTAAGTACTTGAGAATAGAGACTTGAGTGTTTCTAGAATTATTCTGAATGATAATTTGTTTTGGTAAATTTGAACTTATCCAAGGACATTTATTTTTTAATTCTCCTCCCCCCCACACATAAAAAAATATGATGATTTTCTGAACCAGAAGATAGATGAATTGTTTTATCAACAAAAATTCAATGTTACACATTTAGTTGATGTTCATGGAGTGGCAAGTACTTCAACGCCCTTGTCAATAAGAACTCTGGTAGGAAAACCACAACTATACTGGTATGCTCCATTGCAACAAGTATACATTTTTCTTTTTGCAAATTTTATTTATGAAGTGTTCATCCTAGAAAAACTAAATTGTGAGAAGTTAAACTTTACATGTAATAATTATAAAAAATTAACAGATAGTGTGATTTGTAGAGAAGATGACACAATCATCAATAGTGGTGGTCAATATCTTCGAAGGTTGCGATTTCGAAGATTATATCGTCTCATTGTTGTAAGTGAGCTACTATTATTTTCTACCAAAGAATTTTCTGAAGCTCCTTGTTCCATAGGCAACAGATAGTCAGGGTCTTGCAGACTATCAACCTCCTCTTGTAACTCTTTCTCTAACCATGAACACCACTCCACTTCACTCTCTGACTCACTCTCCATCTCCCATGATACCTGCTTATGTGTCTGAATGCCATTCACCTTCTCCATCAGTGTCAACAATATTTGATGGTTCAGTACCTCATAATCTCTGTACATTTTAGTTGCATTTGATAACAAATTAGTCCAAGACATATTTGTGTATTTGAAATGTCATCCAACAATTATGACCTATAAAGATACAAACTAATATGTAAGGTTATCTTTACTTTTCTTATTGAACTATTTGTGTATTTCGAATGCCAACTCTTAATATGTTCCTTTGTACTCTTATAAGAGACTGGTATGAAATGACATATTAAATCAAAATTGAATAAAGAAAAGTAGTACATGTCTACATGAGAACATACCGGTAAGTCCAGACTGCATAGAGAAGTTGGATTGATGCCATAGCCACATAAACATATCTGACCATGCCTACGATCCAAGATTGCTTCTCCATTTTATCTGTGCTGTATCGAACTATACAGAACTCAATCAAGAATGTAACACACAACTCTGAAAAATCATAAGAAATTAATTAGTTAACCACTTTGTTTAGCATTAGAAATGATTCTTAAAATGAGAAGCGAAGTTCTTGCATGTAATGTTGTACCTATATAAAGGCGAGGCCTAACGTTATAAGTCTGTTTTGTACTAGTGAGCATGTAGAGGAGAAAGATTGACAGGGAATAAACCAGGAAGGCTTTCATCAACCTCGATTCCAAGAGAATAGCATTATGCAATGCAAAGAGCTTGTCTATAGCCACAAACATGCTTGCTTGTTTGGATTCAAATGCTTCCTACAACACAATACATTTTTCATTAAGACCTAATCATGTGATAATATTGATCAAGATCATAGACAGAAGTAGTTTCATACTCACCTGAGCTGCTAGAATTATTTTTGAGTTCTCCACAAGGTGATCATGAGCATGTTGAAGCATTTCTTGCTTTCTAAGTAATTCATCCTGTCGTTTCTCTCCAGTTTCAACCAATTGTTGCAATGTTCCTCTATAGATTAATTCCAAAAATTGCAACATTAGATTTAGGATGACTTAACATACCCAAAAAACAAGGCCATTTAAGTAGGAAAATAAAATCGTCAGGACGTGTGGCATAGCTAGGAAATAGTAATTAGAGAAATAAAGTTTGAAGTTTATATGCAAAGGGCCTGGAAATTCCTTTTTCAAATTACTTAAATACAGAGAATTTATATATACATGCTCCGAAAAAGTTCGCATTCGATTCAATACAAGAATATAACAAAGTTCTTGTTATTTTAAATGAAATCCATTAGTTGTTTCTCGCAAATCAGTGAGATATAAAAAAGCCATATAAAGTATTAATAATATTTTACATGTTTTTTATATCACACCGATTAGAGAGAAACAGCTAACGGATTTCATTTAAAATTTCAAAAACTTTAACAAAAGAAAAGACATTATTGATCCAGTTTTACCTGCTTTCTTCAAGAGCTTGAGACTGAAAATTGGTGAGAATATGAAGACCATCAAGTGCAGCAGACTGGATGTCAAGGAGTTCTTTCTGTTTATCTAAAGATACCCCAGCAATAACTTCAATATCATCAGCTTTACTCTGAAGTATTGTCATTTTTGAATTCATTTCCTTACCAACTTTACCAATCTCCTTCTCAATCTCCTCAGCCTCACTCTTCAACTCATTCATCCCTTTACCAAGGATACTATAAGATGTTTGCAGTATTTCCATTCCCTCAACTAAATTCATCTTCATACGTGCTTGTTCATCCGTTAACTCCTTCTGAGAGGCCTCGATGGACTTGGAATGCTCACGGATTTCCCTTGAATGAGTTAGGACAATGCTCACATGTTCTTCCACATTCTTGGAAACCTCTTCTAGGTTTTGAGTTCTTAGATCAACCACGGACAGTGAATCTTGGATTTCCTTTGAGTTCTGCAGTAAGACTCCCTCGTGCGCCTCTATGTTTTCTATCTTTTCCTCTGCGTACTCAGCCGTTTTCTTCAAGTCATTCACCAATCTCTCCGTTTGATATTTAAATGCATCCATCCTGCAATATATACATGTCATTTTAAGTACTGAGAATTAAAGTATTATCATGAAAGTCCAACATAATAGGAGAGTTATGGTCTTTTTTATATGGCTTTATTTTTATATACGTCTGACGTGAATGGTATAACATGCTTGATGAGGGTTAAAGCAAATGCATTTTAAAATCTGTTCTTTTAAGTCTTAAATAGAGAACTATTACTCGTTTTAGCTTGATTGTCTCTATTTGGAATGCCATCTTAAAAGTTAGTTAAAGGAATTATATTTGCTCAATATATTATGGCATATGACTAAGTTCACTTGAGTTTGAGTCTAATATGCATATAGTATATTATCAAGAGGCAAAGTGGAGAACTTACTGAAGTTGGTGACAAATTGAGTTGGTTTCAAGAAAGAACTCAAGGTAAATCTTGTGAGAAAGATCGTCCAAGTTCCTGAGGCAATGATTCATGGGAGATTTGGGGTCGCAGAATGGAAAAGAAGACCGAGCAGAATGTTTCTGGAAGCAATCACTGAGATGCCACGCAAGACGAGACCTTAGTTCATCATCGTAAAGAGCCTTCGAACACTCTGCAAATACACTCTGATAAGCCCTTTGCCAACAAGAATCTGGGCCAACCATCAACATTTTCTGCCTTGCGTTTTCCACTAATTTGAGTCCTTTAGCATTACTGAAAGGCTCCATGGAGAAACCTGATGAAATCTTTCCAGGAAGTTGTTTTTCTTCTTCCCGATGATTCTTAGCTGAACCGAAGAACCAACCACCCCATGACAAGCAACAACATTGTGACAAGAAAATGAGAAACCAAAGCAGCTTGTGATTTTGCCCCATTCTTCTTTTCTATTGAATCTGCACCAACAATAAATCTGAACTATTTAACACAAACAAAATCACTATCTCTAGCAAGTTGTAATTATTTCAATTATACAAATACTAAACGTTCAATTTTAGGACTACCCAAAGAAAGCATATTCTTTGAAAAATAAGCTCAACGTTTTTACTTATACAGTTATACCAGTATGAAGTGGCATTATCACTTCATAGATGATACTATGATAGATGTAGCACGAGAAAGTATGATTACAAGGCGCATGACAACGTGAAAGCATTTGTTAAATTTAGTCAAGGCGAGATATTGGCCTCACGGAACTTAGTTATGCATCTTTGCTAAACTATACATGATGCTCTCTTCACAAAAAAAAATGACAAGGTAAAAAAAACACGTCATTAAGCATAATAATTACTAATACCTCTAATGTTTTCAAATGATTTTACTTGCACACCTTATATGATGTTTTCATATAATTTGAGTTGCAAACTTGATCAAGGATTGAACTCTTTCTGTAAATAAACTACCTTCCCCTTTTCACTAGGAAACCAATAAAACCAACCCAAACTATAACACAGAGTCATACACCACTCGTATAAAACACCAAACAATGTAAAACACAACCAAAGAATATAGTCATATTAGGCTTAGCCGCTTAGATCAACATTTCCAATAGAGCCAAAGACTTGCTATTGTATTACTCTAGTATATGATGGAATAAACCAAATAATATAGAGTCATAAACTGTGTGAGTAGTCATTATTATTAAAAGAAAGAAGCTAACCTTTATCTGGGACAACATGCGAAATAAGAATTTCTCTCCTTATATAACAAAAGCTATCTTTGATTGGTGATAAGCACTACCAAACCAATTAGTAAGAAGGGATGTACCTTGTTTGCAGAGCAGCAATGAAGCGAAAGAAGAATAGAGGAGTAGCAGGTTGAGAGATGAGAGTGATGTGCAGCGACATGACAATGTTTAGTTGAAGTTATACTGTTAAGACTGGAAACCTTTGTTGGCGATGGAGTGTGAAGTATCTGCAAATACCGATTCAGTGCAGACCTGATGGAAGGGATTGCTTAACGGAAAAATGCAGACATGGTGTTTAGAGTGTCCTATTGTCGGGATTTCATCTAGCTGCGTGGAATGGTAGCGATAATTCGGTAGACAAGTGTACTGAACCGTCTCTAATCAAACAAGAGTGAGCATCATTGTTCTCGGCTTCTTATTCCGTTTCTTTTTATAATTTTTTAGTTTATAAAAAATCTTAAATTATGTCTATAATCAATTCTAATTAATTTCTATATGTGAATCTGGTGTAATGTGATACGTTTGAAATGTGTAACATTTTAAAATGAGCATAAAGTTGTGCCAAATGAGCATACATAGCTTACAAAATGAGTATCAAAAAATTCAATAGCTCGTTTGTGTATGCTCATTCATTTTGGGCGTGACACTTATTTGAATTAAACATAAAACTCATTTCTTATGTGTTCAATATAATAGAATTATTAGAGGCTTAGTATTGTACTTACATTAAACTCTCTTTAATATAAATATATCTGTCAAGGCTCCTTAGGGAGTAACCTTTTCCATTATTCTCACATGGTATCAAGAGCACATTAATTTTTCCGATCCTCTCTCTACAATTTTTTTCCCGGCGCCGCGTGCTAAGCCTAGAGTCGCCGCCTGCCTGCCTTCAATTTTCCGACGTCGACCGTCGCTGCTCCACAATGGCCGCTCCATCATCACAAGCTTCGGCAACCATCAGCACCAGCACCAACGCTTCGACCGGCGCTCCACTCTCTTTTGGAACGCTGCCGGCAATCAGCTCTGTTTCCTCCGGTGTGACCTTCTCCTCCAACTTTGCATCTCTAAATCGGGTCTCATAATAGTAGTTTTCTTCTACAACATAATTTTTCCTGTAGCAAATCTGACAATTCTTTGTTCATTTAATTTACCGCCAGAATAATACTATTATTTATGTATTACTATATGTGGATGATATTATTATTACTGGCAATTCCGAGTCATCTGTTACCCAATTTATTTCAATTATCTCTAAACATTTTGCTATGAAAGACTTGGGTAATCTCCATTATTTTCTGGGTGTCGAGGCTATTCGTTCAGCTAAAGGTATGTTTCTCTCTCAACATAAATATGTTACTGATCTTCTAGCTCGTTTTCATCTTCATACTGTAAAGCCTGTTCGCACCTCGTTAGCTTCACGTACCACTCTGTCTCTTTCTGATGGTGAGTTATTGTCTGATTCTACTGAGTATCGCATCATGGTTGGTGCATTACAATATTTAACTTTGACACGGTCAGATATTACTTATGCACTACACTTAGTGTCTCAGTTCATGCATGCTCCTCGTACCACTCATCTTTTTGCAGTCAAGAAAATTTTCAGCAGTCTAATCGGCCAACCTGTGTAGTTGCTTACTCCGATGCTGATTGAGCAGGTTGTCCTGATAGTTCTCGGTCCACCACAGGTTTTGCTGTATTTTTGGGTCCGAATTTGGTTTCCTGGAAGACTAAGAAGCAGCCTACTGTGTCGAAGTCCTCCACAGAAGCGGAATATCGTGCCATTGCTTACACAGTACAAGACACACTACATATCCGATCGATACTGTTCGAACTTGGATAGCCTATCTCAGAGCCGGTACATTTATTATGTGATAATATATCTGCTTCTTACTTGACTGCAAATCCGGTTCAGCATGCCCGCAGTAAACATATTCAGATTGATTATCATTTTGTTCGCGAACGGGTTGCTCATGGAGATATGATTGTTAAGCATGTTCCTACTCATCTACAGCTGGCAGATATTTTTACTAAAAGTCTCTCTAGTCAACGTTTTCATTTTTTGAAAGACGACCTACGCGTTGTATCTCCCGCACAGTTTGAGGGGGTGTAATAGAATTATTAGAGGCTTAGTATTGTACTTTACATTAAACTCTCTTTAATATAAATATATCTGTCAGTGCTCCTTAGGGAGTAACATTTTCCATTATTCTCACACAATATTCATCTGTGCATATTCACTCCTTTTAGGCATTATTATACTCATTTAACTTTAATATTAAACTCATTTCAATATACTATGACATATGTAGCAGGAGACAATAGGTGAGAAATAAGCCAACGCGAAAAGGGGGTTGTGAAGAATCAGAATCTCGGGTCAAAAGCGATGCAGCCGTCACTACGCCAATCGATCGGAGCCTGCGGCGGCTTGGGCTGCTTCGCGAGTTGGAGACTTGGGCTTGTTCCGTCTTCGTCAATGTCCTTCGTCGTCTTTGTAGATGAGTTGTGGCGCAGATTATTACAAAAAAATCAGTTGAACGGTGTTCACCATATAGCCGAATGTACGGTAAGTTGGCTATATGGTACCTAAGGTAAGTTGGATGTTTGGATGTTTGGTTCAATGAGTTTAATATAAGCATTTTCTTTTCAAAAAAAGTGTACTATTGTAAATACTACCTTCTTCCACTAACAACGTGAAGAGGTGGAGAGGGAGTGAACTTATTAAGAAGAGTGGGTTTATGTGCATGATAAAGTAAGAATAAAAGAAGAATGGTTTAGAACTAACTTCAAGAAGCATGTAAAACGCATATTACTTTTCAATTACTTGAATTTGATATTTTAGTTTTTTGTATATGTTTATCTATATCTATTAATAAAATATATTCAAAACAATTTTCTTCGTAATTCAATAATTTCATCAATGTCAAATACCTTGTTGTCTAATTATGGTCCTCCTATAGGAGAGGTCATATGTTTGAATATAACTCTAATTAAAGATGTTGGCATCTAAATATATAATGTAGAACAAAAACTGTAATTAATCTTTACAATTGTACTCGCTTCGTCTGAAATTGTTTTGCAACATATTTTGATTAGTCAGTATTGATTATTATTATTTGGATTTTAATAAATACAATTTACGTATTCAAGAAACTACATTAAAATTTCTATAAAGTCACATAACTCAAATTAGAATATGACTAAATTTTAGTATCTTAATTAAGTTAATAAAATGATGATAAAAAAATTAAGTTAATAAAATGAGATTGTTTGACAAAAAAGCTGACTTTTAAATCTATTTGGACAGAGGGAATATAAAAAGCAACTTCATTAATAATTATGACAATTTTCAGTAATACACGTTCACTTGACCTGTATTAGCGTTACCAAAAGGCTCTTATACAATTGATCGACTATTTCTCAAAAATAATTAATGGATTAGCAATTTTAAGCATTGAGCGGGAAATCTTGAAAAGATTGATTGTAAAGTAATTATTGATGATTTTGCTTCACAATTTCATGCGGAAAATATTTCTAAGTAATGCTATTTTTGTGATATTTGTGTTGTTATTTCTGCTCAAATATGTAATTTGAATAAAGTGGATTTTACTTTATGATCCTTATTAGATAATTTTATTATAATCCTTATTTTAAGAAAATATAATCCTTATTTCATGAAAATCCCCCCAAAATGGTATATCGAAGCCGAAACGTGGCAGGGCCAGCCCTGCTCATTCTTGAACACGTAAAATGGGATATTCGTAGATCTAGAAATTTGTTATCTCAATAGTAGTCTTTATTTAACTACTAGCCTAGGTACGCCCTATGGGCGAGAGCTTGGTGCCCAATTTAAGCACGTTAAAATACTTATGGGTATGTTCGTCTCATTTATGGGGACTCCATAAAATACTTATGGGCGAGAGAAATGCAGACTCCATTAAAATACTTATGGAGACGTTCGTCTCATTTATCCAACACAAGTCCCCCGGTGAGGACGCTCTTCCCGGTTGTCTTGGGCTATGGGGACGTTCGTCCCAAAAACAACGGCCATCCTCTGTCGCCTATCGTCCTCTGGGCCTTGGGCTATGGGGACGTTCGTCTCAGTTGGCTTGGACTATGGGGACGTTCGTCCCGTAAACAACGGTCGTCCTCTGTCGCCAATCGTTCTCCGGGCCTTGGGCTATGGGGACGTTCGTCTCATTTGCCCAACACAAGTCCCCCGGTGAGGACGCTCTTCCCGGCTGGCTTGGGCTATGGGGCCGTTCGTCCAAAAAACAATGGCCGTCCTCTGTCGCCTATCGTCCTATAGGCCTTGGGCTATGGGGACGTTCGTCTCGGTTGGCTTGGGCTATGGGGACGTTCGTCCTGTAAACAGCGGTCGTCCTCTATCGCCTATCGTCCTCTGGGCCTTGGGCTCTCATTTACCCAACACAAGTCCCCCGGTTAGGACACTCTTCCCGGTTGGCTAAGCCTATGGCGACGTTCGTCACAAAAACAATGGCCGTCCTCTGTCGCCTATCGTCCTCTGGGCCTTAGGCTATGGGGACGTTCGTCCCAGTTGGTTTGGGCTATGGGGACGTTCGTCTCATAGACAACGGCCGTCTTGTGTCACCTACCGTCCTCTGGGCCTTGGGCCATGGGGATATTCATCTCATTTATCCAACATAAGTCCCTCGGTGAGGACGCTCTTCCCGGCTGGCTTGGGCTATGGGGACGTTCGTCCCTGTAATTTTGAATACAGGGAGACGGAGACGGAGCTATAAATAGGAAGAGACGGAAGACCAACTTAACGACAAATCAGCGGAATTTCCGTCCAGGTCACTCTTTATATAAGTAGGAGATTACATTAATTTATAATAAGCTGATCGATACATATTATCATAATAAAGTATAATACTTGTATTATCGATCTAGAGTAAATGTAGAAGAATATGCAAAAAAAGCATACTCCTTCTGTCCCACTTAAAGGTTTTCATGCGGTTTATTTAACTCCCCATAAAGTTAATTGGTATCTGTCATTAATAAGATTATTTTTAGTAAATAGAATTTAGATACTCAGAAACTACATTAAAAGTTTTATAATTATAATACCTGATCAAGAAAAATTAAATTTGATAAAAGTTGGATATATAAAATAAAAGATTAAGAACAATTCAGGTTAACCGAAGACATGGACGGATTTGGGGGGGGGGGGGGGGGGCGACCGCCCCCCGTGAAATTTCAATTTTTTCTATTATATACTCCGTATGTAATACTTTCATAAAATTTTCAGACTTTAATTGGAAATATATGTTTAGCATTAATATAAATATAATATGCACCATATATATGAATTAACAATAATACTGCGTATAATGTTATTCCAAAAATAATAATATCATTCATACTACTATAATATTAAGAAAACTTCTTG